AATTTAGAAACAAATTTGTTTTATTTTTTGCTTATAATGTTATTGTATAATAAATATATAAAAATCAACATTTATAAATATTAAAATATAGTTAGTTTTGATTATAAAAAAAATTTATGTAATAAAAATAAATATTTTTGGTAATTTGTTGCATTTTATAAGTTTTTACCTAGTGTTATGTGTCCAACTATGCCGTGGTACATATATTTGATATCTCTGATAACTCTACTATTATAGCATCTTTCATCACTTTAAAATTATCTGCTATTTTATTCATTAGTGTCTGGCGACATAAAATTGTTGTACCAGAGGATAGAGTTTTAGTCATCAAGGTAAATGATGGATTATCAACCAAGGACATTAACTGAACTGATCAATTATAAAATCAACAATAACTTTATCAGCCAATTTTTGAGAAATATTGGCATTTGGATTATTAATTAATTTGATTTGAATTAGTCTTTTTGGATGTAGAGTCGCCTATACCAAAATTATTTAAATGTTTCTCTATTTCCTTAAAGTTATTGGTATGAACAGTCTTATAAAATAAATACTATTAGAATGTAAAAATGACAATTTACCTTTTGGTGTTTCTTGAGGTTAAAACTGGATTGATTTGAGGAAATATTTTTTTTACATTTTAAACAAATAAATTTGAAGCCAGTTTTGGTTATTATATTTTTTAAAAAAATTTCAAATCTAGGGAATGGAAAATTTGTATTATAGTTTTAAAAATATTTTCTTCCCTGGTATTTCCCATTCCATTAATATCATTGTCTGGATCACTTTCAACGATTTGGGTATCCATAGACGATGACATTTTAAATTATTAACCAGTGATTTAGGTTTATAATACAAATGAAAATATAAATTACAAATTGAAGATAAATTTCAAAATTAAATAATAAATCATAAAAATTATAATTAATTATGATATTATTTTTAAATTTTCATGTTTATACTTGCCTTCATTATATTTTTTAAAAAAAGTAGCGCGCTAAAAAATTAAATAATTACAAAAAAAGTAGCCGCTTAGCTATATCTACCAAAAAAATTAGCGCGCTATAACAACTCTGCTAAATTGAATTTGGAAAAGAATATATATTTATATGAAATTTATTAGATAGAGATAGTTGTATTTTAAAATAAAACAATAAATCCCACGAAATCAGCATAATCAATATAGAAATTGTTTTCGAGATTTTCATAATAAATAGATATTTATATTTTTTTGTATTACAATATGCCTGACGATGTCACATTGCATTATCATTTTTTTTACCTGTCTATTTAAAATTAAAGTTGGAAAAAAATTTGATCTATGGAGTGTATAAATGAATGATTTATAGAAAATTTTTTTTTTTAAAATTACTAAAAAGTTAGGCGTCAAAGGGTTAAATTTAATTATAATTATTAAAATCAAGGAGGATAGCAAATTAATTTATTAAAATATTAGATACTCAATAATCATTGTAAAATAAAAAAAGAAAATTATAAAGTAAAGAAAACTAAAATATAAAGTAAAAATTGTAAAACTTTATTCTTCTTTCTTTACATCTTCGATTTATCACTAAAATCTATAAACTATCAATAATAATTTCACATAATTGTCATTTGATATGATTACAATATAAACATTTCAATTAACCTTTATAATATTGATATTCGAATTAATTGTCTTTCAAATAATTATACAATAACTTTTATTTTCTCATGTCTTTAAATTCTATTTCAAATGCATGTGCCCACTAAAAAAGCTTTATATTGGAAACCTTTAATTTTAAAAAATAATCATTTTGATTCAAAGCCACATCCTATTCTATATAATAGTGATCAGGAATAAAAATAAAAAAGTCAGAGATATTAACATTAGGTCTGTAATTTAAAAATAGTAAAAAATAATATTAATTAAAATTATAGAATTATATTTTTACTCATGATATTAAATATTATAATTCAGATTTAACTTAATTTTCATTATATAAAGATTGTTAAAGGTTTAAGAAAATTAAAATATAATTATTAGAAAAAACAAAAATGATATTAATAAATGATTGTACATATACGTTATTTTTGCTGAACAAAAATTTACATGAATTTTAAATTTATGTTATTTTATATTATAAAATATATATAATCATAATCAGTTGTAAATTAAAACGCTCTTTTACTAATACAAATCAATTTTTTTTATAAATGTCCCTTCTTGTTGAATTTTTAGTTACTTTATTTTCTTATTATAAAAATTGCTTATATATTTTTAATTTTCTATATTATTCATTAAATTCTGAATTTTTAAAAAATAATCAATTTTTCTATATTAACGATTTAAATAAAAAATAAAAAAATTCATAAACACATGAAATATTTAACGTTAAAACTTTTATAAACAAAGATTTATTAAAATAAAGGTTGCTATTTTGATGGCTGCAAAATAAAAAACGTTTTTATATAATTATAGAATTGGGCGTTGAGCAGTTTGTATTAATATAAATCTATGACTTCGACAATTTTAATATTTTATACTAGATGATTTGGGTTTAAAAATTTTGATATACTAAAAATTAAATAATAAAATATAAAATTATAAATAATTTATATTTCAATTTTCGTGTGTAGAGTTATAGCTATTTAGTATAGTTGGGTAAGGCTAAAAAAAATCGGCTAAACCAAGTTTTAGCAGAAAACTATCATTATGGCCTGTGGGTTTTTCTTAAAAAGATAGCAGCTGAAATTTGAAGGAAACTCATAAAATTAAACGCCTGAATGTTAACGAATTTTCCCGACAGGCGCCTGAAGACGAATTAGCCGACATTTAGGCATTAGCCTGTGCGTCGACAAACTATCGGCGGGGCGCAATTTTCAAAAAATCGGCGCACCGATTTTTAGCCGCCGTCAACAAAATCGGGGTAAATCGGCGCAGTTATAAATTTTTATAACATAAATTTTTTTAATTGCCTATTATTTAAAAAAAAAACGAATGTACATTATTCTACAGGTATCTCAGCATATTTTTTAATATTTATTTAATAGAGAATTCATTATAAATCCAAAATCGATTTCGTAATTTTATAATTATCATGTATAAAAATTATTTTATTTAAATTTTCGGTATAATAATGATCCCCTTGAATTTAACGTCAATCCAGCGGTAGAGAAAACTCTTTAATTAGATGTGCTAGTCACCCGAATACAAAGAATTTTTTGACGAGCCTGGAAAGATTGGGAAGTTTACTCTTCTTTTCTCTCCAAAAATTTAGAACGTTCATATCTTGTGAATATCGTTTTCTAAGAAAACTGTGGCATTCTTGTTCTAAGTCACCTAACTTGGAATCATAATTTATATTTGTTGAATGTTTATTTGCCAATTTTGTCAAATAACTTAAATTTAATAATTCACCTTAATCCATTAGCTATATTTACTACCTGATTATCATCATTCTCTATATGTTTAAGATGTTTTATTATAAATTCCAAAGCTGAACAATTTTGCTCTATTTGACACAATTGTCAATTTTTGAAATCTTGGATCTAAAAGAGAAGCCAATACCTAGATAATTTTAAATAAAAAATAAAAGAATATACTTATATATTATTACTTACAGATTACACACCGAAAATCGTAACGCAAGTTTTTTTTTAGCATATTATCCTTAAGTGAAATGATTTCAGAACTATCACTATCATTTACTATTAAATTTGTTTCAATTTCATTCTAAAAAGTAACGACAAGTTTAAAGTAGGCCCTTTTTGTACTGAAAAAATTTGACAGTTTCTTTAAATTGTGAAAGAAATGCTAATCGTTTCTACCAGCTCAGATTCATAATTTGATAATTTTAGAAAGTGGTTCCCTTTTCTTTTCAAAACATTATTAATTAAATTCTTATTTAATCCAGATATGCTTTCTAGCATAATTAATATGATGCCAACGTGTTGGGACATTTAATTTTAAAGTTTTCAAATGCGTGGAATTATTGTTATTATTATCATTGGAATTGCCAATTTGAAAACGGGCATCCGGGTATGGATCAATGCTGGTTTAATCTATTGTACTTACACATTTTTTTGTCTTTCTCGAATTCAAATTCAACCTGTGCAGTTTTATATCTTAGAGCAGTAATAATTTCTCTAATTCTTTTGCAAAAAAATTTCCAGACTATGGATTTTATATTATCCAGAGTTAGGATACTAAAATTATTTATAGAATTATTAAATGTAGATGCATCCATTTTAAAAAAGTGTAAAATTTTGGTAACTTTTGGAATTTTAGATTTTTATGACGTCAAATAATTATGATTTTAAAATAGTAGAAAATAAAAATTCATCAAAACCCTGATTGACATTTAAAAAATTACAACAGTGATGTTGATTAATTATTAGAGTAAAAAGGTATGAAATATGAAAGAAAATTCTGCGCCGGCCGTGCGCCCTCGATATAAAAATAGGCGGCGCGCCGGCGTGATTTTCTTAAACGGCGGCGTTTTTGGCGTAATCAAAAAAGGGGCGCACAGATCTAGGCATTACCCAACTATACTATTAGCTACCTTATTTAAAAAAGTACCAAATTTTCGTATTATTTTATTTCTATATATCATATAAGTCGTTTTATTTGTGATTGAGATAATCATAATTTTTAATCTTTTGAACTTAAATTTTTTTAAAAAAAATGTATATTCAAATGTAGCCTATATATTTTCAGCTTAAAATACATATTTCTCGTTATAACATTTTCCGCATATAATGTTCAAAATTTTTTTCCCTTGAGAAAAATTATATCGAAGTTTTACTGTAATTTTATTAATAATATATATGTATTCGTAATGATTTTATTAATAATATAAAATGCATTCTAATAAATGCGTATAAATTAAATGCACAGATTTCAATTGATCAGTAAAAATTTTCATATACATTTCAAATTAATAGTCATTAATACTATATAAATTTGTTGGCATGACAAAATAAATTTAATGAAAGTTTTACAACCGTTTTTTTTCTATTAGAAAGCAGTGTTAAAAAGTAATAACAAGTAATAATAAGAGAATCAAAAATAAACAATTATGCATTATTATAGATAATACTGTTCTCTAAAATAAAATTCATTTAATATTATAAATTATATAGAATTGTTAGAACAATCATTACACTAGTCGTGGTGAAAATTTTCACCAAGGTGGACATGGATTAGGACATTCTCTTAAGTAAGTTTCGATGGTACCAGCTTTGACATTCATAAGAGAAGAATATACGGTTAACTTATATTTTTACAAAAGAAATATCAATATTATGAATAATAAAGGTGATACAGATTAAAAATTTAGTAATCATATAAAAATTAAAAAAGTTTTTCTTACTTTGTTTAAAACTGGTTGAGTAGAGAGTACGTCATAGAGGGTTGAAAAATTTATCGTCTATCAATAATATATGTAATAAAAATGTGTTTAAAAAGAATTAAATATCTATTTTAATGGTCAAAAAATATATATTTGTTTGGACCTAATAGAAATAATAATAAATAATAAAATTCTAATAATAAAAATTTGAATTAGCGTAGTTAAAAAGAAAGTGATAAAAAATTGTCACATCTCTTTATTTAGCCCATGAAAAATAAATTTTCTTATCCTATTACATGAAAATAAAGAACCTATATATTTCCATAGTTGTTAAAAGATCTAAGATATAAAAATGTGGTATATGTATCTGTATCTAGATAGATTTTTGATTAAAACATCTGTATCTAGATATTATTTTAGACGATGTATCTGTATCTAGATCCATTTAAAAAGTATCTTTTAACAACTCTATATATTTCCATATCCATGAGACCTGAATTCGATAATAAATTAAAATAAAATTTACAATTTAATCAATAACATTTCACATATACCAAAACAATATTATGTAATATTGTATGGAAAATCAATACCCCTGTTTGCTTGGTATATTTTAGGCAGTTAATAGCGGGTGTCCTTCTATCATCGACGAAAAAAGGCTTTTTCCACCAATCGTAATTAGTCTCCAACAAGTACCAATTGGGCGCCCTAGATGAATTATGCCAAGCAGATAGATTTCGATCATTTACCATCTGCATTCTAGAACGTGTTATAACATTGGCCTGAGCGTTTTATGTTATATATATATTTCTAGACTTAATCATAATTGTAATTTAGAAGAAAAACACTTCAAACTAATATATAGAAGCCTACAAAACCCGACCCATGGGTTGAGTAAAGAAATTGTGGTTATATTTATTCAAAATTTAATCAGTAATATTATTTATGTTCAGGTTAAGGGAATTTGTTTTTAAAAATAATTTGTGTTGGGTAGGTTTTCTCTAAAAAACAGAGACCTTCGTGGGCCTTAATTTTTTGTCAAACCCAGCCCAGTTATTAAAAAAATTTTTAGGTCCAAACCCGGCTCATATCCAAAAAATAATTTATTATATTTCATGAAAATAAACAATATTTAAGTGTATTTAGGCAATCATTTAATTTAAAGATTAAAATTTATTATTATTAGAAAAGAATGGCAATATATTTTTTTAAGTTAACAACTGTTTTAAATAAGCTAAATTTAAATTAAAAAATTTAGGCCCAAGCCCATAAAGAAATTTTAAAAACCCAGACCTGCTAGAAAATATATTATGGGCCGGGTATGGATCTATTGATCGTAGGGCCTGTAAAGGTCTCTGTGAAAAAATCTTCTCTTGCAGGTTTCTAAAATATATTTAGCCTCCAAAAAACTAACCCAAGTGAACTTTCTTAATAGGATTTTTAGAGATGGCAATGTATGTTAGAACCTTATTTAGCCTGCAGGATAAAATTTGAACATCAAGTAGATTTATCAAAATTTTAAAAAGCATAATTGTCAATGTTTTTTATTAAAGATTAAATGGTGCAGAGACTTTTGACTATCATGTTTTTTTAAAATATCATACTAATAAAAAAATTAATTCTTTGTTTGGAAATAATAAAAGAAAAATTGCAGGAAACATGTCTCTGCTTTGATAAAACTTTCCATCTGGAAATAGCATATGATATAGATTTTTTTTTAAAACTACGTAACGAATGGTTTGTGGTAAAAAAAATAACTCTAAATAATTTTTTTTAAAAAATGAATTAACTTGCGTTTTATCAAGACCGCCTATGATAAAATAAACGGGAGCTATTAGGGGCGCCAACTTAAGCTGTTCCCTGGCTTCCTGGAAAGAAAGAGCATTCGCCATTAGGTCCCTCGTGAAAAATGATAGCCAATTCATTTCCCTACACCCAATGAGCCATAAAAGTATACCTTACATTATTTAACGATTAAATCATTTATATAAATAATGATAAAATAAGTAAAGATTAAGTTAGCTATTTTCGACTATGCCGTAGCATATAAAAATGTCAATGGCTGATAGCCGTGGTCATTAAAATTATATAAATATACGATTAAAGACAAAGCCAATTTCAAATGTTCTAGACGAAGTGTGTTCTTTTTAAATTCTGTGCCATATCTAGCCATGACTTTTAATTTTGCATAAAAATATTCTATTTCTTTCATGTTTCTTTTAATAGGTCTGGTTATTTATTTGAAATATTGGGAAAAAAGAAATTATTAATATTTGGATTTAAAAAAATAACAAATTTTTAACAAAAGGGCAAAATACTTTATAGGACCCCCCCCCCCCCCCAAAAAAAAAAAAAGAAGGGACAAATTATGTAAAAAAAATAAGTTTCCAATTTTTTGTTATTTATAGATTACTTTTTACCATCGTTCTTTTTTTAAATTATATGAGTATTTGGAGTTAGTCAAAACCTATACATTATTTTGTTCATCCTTCATTTAAATGACTAATTATACCATATATTTCTTTTTACTTAATATTTCCATATATTTGGTGTAAAAAACATGATAAAAAATAAATGCACAAAAAATTTAAAACTAAAAAAAACTTTTATCCAGACTCATTTAAGGTTATGGCTATTAGTCGTAATTATTTAAATTTAGCCATATCTCTGGCTAAACTATGCCGTTTCCTCATCCATTCTATAAGGTAATTATGTGTGCTTTATAAATAATGATATAAAAATTAAAACTCAATTGCAACATTTGATTTTAAAAAATTATATTATAATAAAATAGAATATTCCAGAAAAATTAAACCTACAAATCCACCACCGTCCGTTGTAAAGCGTTCATTAACGGTGAGCGAAAACTTTCCCTATGAGAAAATAACATAAGAATAGTGTCATTAGCAAATGCCTTAATTTTCAATACAAATATAGAAATTTTAAAAAAAAACTTTAGCCCGTGTTGAGCTTATCATTTTGTATCATCTAAAACCGAGCGGAAGTGGTTCATATTTGGCAGATCTCTTCAAGGTTTCCTATCCAAAATAAGGTCAATCAAAAAAGAAGGGGAAGGACGTTTCTACCCTCAGAAATTTGTTTGAATTAATATCATTTTTAGCTTATAACAAATTTATCCCTACACTACCCCCCACCCCTTCCAAAAATGAATAGTGTGTAACTATAAATAATAGTGCTGTAAACGAACGCGTTCAAATGAAGTTAGTTTTTGTGATAAAAATGATGAACGGCGTTCCTTTTATCTTTGATGAACTTTAAACGTGAACGTGTCCCTTTTTTTGACGAACGCGTTCGAATTTAAGGTTCTTTCAATTTTAAAAACACTTTTTATTATGTTATTTGAAAAATTTAATATTAATCCGAATTTTTTTAGAAAAAAATCTAATATTTTTTAATCAGCTTTTTTTCCTTTTTAACATTTCAATTTTTTTAACAAGCCATTATTATAGTTTACAACCTATATTGAAGGAACTAATTCAATACTTACCAAATGTAAAATGCCTAAAAAGTATTATATCAGTTTCATCTTCAAGTTCCACTTTAAAGCGACATATTGTAATATTAATTATTTTATTTTATACAATATAATTAAGTAGCCAGTTAACAATTTATTTTAGATTGTTCAAGTAAAAATCATTAAATTTTATATATAATATACATAGATAGAAAATGGTTGATATCATTTAGAATTTATTTTTAATGTCAATTTTTGAAATTATAATATAATCACTATTATAATCAACGATTTTATATTTTAATTGTTGAACACAATTTGAAGTATAAATTTATTGTAGAAAATTAACTTTTATATGATATATAAAAGTTATAAAAATAATTTCTTTGAATCTACTATACCTAGGATTTTATATTTTTATTTACAATATAAAAATGCTATAAATGACAAATTTAAAATTTTTATAAAAATATTTAATATGAGGAAGTTAGAGGATGAATTGGAGGAGGATAACTTATCCCAATTTTTTAAAGCGGACAAAACAATAAATGTTTTTAATAAATTCCCCTCGTTAAAAAAGTTGTTTATTAAGGCAATTCCCTGATCTGCCCCTGTAGAGAGCGTTTTTAGTATAGCTAATGCCGTATTAACATTCAAGCGTTCTATCGGATAAAAATTTTGAAAAAACAATTGTTATTAAAAATTAAAAAGAAAATTTTTTTATAAATAAAAATATCTTTTTATTCACTACTTACTATATTATATTATCAAAGAAAACTATATTATTTTTTAATATGGCTAATATATTGTGTTAAAAAATATGACATTTATTTATATTTAAATTTTAAAAAAAATTATCATAAAATTTTGAACGAACGTGAACGCGTTCGATTTTTGTCAATGAACGTTAAACGCGTTCGATTTTTTACAAGAAATGTTTACAGCACTAATAAATAATAATTTTTAACAAATAAATAAGTTACTAATTTTGTAAAAATAAAGCATTTTAGTTATAAAAAAGATTAACCCGGCTATAGACCTGTAATAAATGGGCCCACAGTCTTCTAACAAAATTTGTTGGGAAAAACCCCTTATGGAAAAGCCCCCCCCCCCCAAAAAAAAAATTTGGATTTGCCATGAATAAAAAATGATAAATTATTCACCATTTATATCACAGATTATAACAATAACAAATGAGGGTAGCTGTAAAATTTAAATTTCACATAATATTATCGTCAAATAATCTTAAAATATTTAAGGTTAATATGCGAAAATATTATTGCCGAAAATAGTTGTGAAGATGGTTACCATTAAATATTAATAGATCCTGAAAAATTAAATAACCCATTTATATTTTGAATGACTTATAGATATTTAAGAACAAAACTAGTGGACGTGTATTCCAGATTTTAATAAAATTTACTGGATTTATGATCTAAGATTTACTGAATTTACGATCTAAGATTTATATAATCGTAAATGAATTTATATCATCAAAAAAATCAGCCTAAATTATTTTTGTAAAAGCTGTATTTGTGTTCTCTTATTAATTCTATTATTTTTAGACATAAGTGAATAGGCGTCTCAAGATATAGAGATCATTGCTTTATTACTAATCTTAGTTTTTAGAGGAAAACTGTGCAAAATAATGGACTTCCCTCAAATATTTTGACGTGGAAAGGGGTTTTTCTGAAACGAATTATTTGTAGGCGCTAAAAAAATTTACATCTCCATAGATTCAACATTATGGACACCTTTTTCAAAATTGGTATTTTATTTAGATTATCGATATGCATATTACGAATATGAGTATGGATAATATAATTCATCGAAAATTTTACATATTTTATTTGTCGAATTATTTGAAATTGCTTTATAAAATTATTTTATAATATTCGTAAATATTATTAAATAAAAATATTTGATTTGAAAATTATTCATGAAACTATTCCTATTTAATAATGCGTTCTTAGTGGAGAAAAGAAGAACCTATTACCTTAATTTCCTACACCAACCATTTTGATGTAAAATGACAAAGTATAATAATATCTTAACAATTGATTTATTATGCTAGAAAGAGCAATTTTTACAATTGGCTTAGAGGGGGGTTAGGGAACTGGCTAAGTTTTTAAATTTATAAAACAAATTTATTATATATATCATATGCAATGGCATTTACTATATCTAGAATGAATATTAATTCATTAAAATGCATTGAAGCGTCGCTCAGTACAAATCAGCTGGTGACAAGCCACGTTAATTTTCACATTCGAATTTTTAATAAATAAATGAGGCTGAATTTATTTTAGGTTACCTAAAATTCAAATATAAATTATTTACATGGGAAACCAAAATGGCGTGTCACCAGCTGATTTATATTGTTATACATATGAATGAATGATACGACAGCCTAGGTAGTATTATTGTCATTAATCATACACCATATACATATATTAGGCCACTGGCTATTTTTGATTGTATGCATGTTAAAATTTAATAAAAATCAAACAAAAGAAATTAATTTATTAATTAATATGAAATGGCGTTGTAATTTTATATGATTCAAAATTACATCTACTCATCAAATATCATTAAATGTAGTGCATTTTAAATGCATTCGTTTAAATTGGGCACATTTCCGTTTTTTGACACTTATTTAAATTTTGAAGTTGTAGAATATAGATACAACATCGAAAAGTAAGAATAATTATATTAAATGATACAATAATATTTTTAGCCAATGGAGAAAAATATTGTTAAAAAATTCGCCGAAAATAAAACCTGATGAGAAATTATAAAATCAAGGACATATATACCATAAAAAAACATTTATTGTATGGAACATTTAGCAGTCATTATTTCCATATATAAATATATAAGATTATTAATTATAATAATTTAATTAGCTTAGCTTTAGAGTTCCCGGGTTTTGATACCAGTACTTTATCTCTTAAGAAAATATTAAAGAATTTCTAAGTCCAACTTAATAAGGAGAAACTATGCAGGTCTTCAGGTTCAGAAGGTGGCAAGAATCAATATAAATATCGAAAATATATACATTTTATGCAATGGACTGTTGCTGATGAAGTATTAAAAGGAGCAAAATAAATCTTTGAAATTGAAATATTTTATTATATCCTATTACTACAATTATCTATTATATATATAATCAATTAATATTTTTAAAGAAAATAAATAAAAATTTATACACAATTAATTTTATATAAACAATTTTTAAAATAAAACAATTAGGTTTATCTAATGTGACACAGTACATTTTTTCCAAATTTTAGGTTAAGATTTTAACAATCTGTGTTAGTTGAGCTTATTTAGTAATAAAATAACACAAATACAATCAATATTAAAAAGAAACATTAGAAAATCAAATTGATCAAAAATTTATTTTATTAAAATTATTATACCTGGTGTTTTTTATTTAATTTCAATGAATTAATAACAATAAATATAATCACAAATGTTGGCTATATTATTTCTACAATAAATCAATTTTTAAAAAATATAATATAATAAATTAATCAAAACTTAGCTTTCACTCTACTCAACAGGAACGTTTTCACTTCATTTGAAAAAAAAACAACAAAAAAAGCATGGGGTAATGATGTATAGCGTCATGCAACGTTATGAAAATAATGTGAAAATAATGTGAATATAATATTTAAAAAAATCGAATCGGCCTTTTTTTGATATTTTCCTCTGATCGGCCTCAAAAATCGACATTTTCTCACGGTCTCGTAATGCAACATCCTATACTACCAATAAATAGTAAATATGATAAATTATATTATCGAATGGTAATATGTGAAAAAATTCCTAAAAAATGGACTACAATAAAACTAATATGCGATAAAGTCAAAGCTGTGTACTGCTCAATCTGCCTGGCATTTGCAATAAGTGAAAACACATTCACAACAGTCTCAACAATTTCGATATATGCATTCAGTAATTAAAATACATGATAATTCAAGTGTACATATTAGTGAAATCGAGACCTCCCTCAGAGCATCAAAAAACAAATCATTTGATAATTCAATAAGTGTTCAAATATTAAATAAAAAAAATAGACAAATTTATAACAATGTCTACATAATAAAAGCGAGATAATAAAGTTTTTACGCAAACAAAACTTACCCTCAGAGGATCAAATGCTACTGAAACACTTAGCCACTTGAAAATGAAAATTTGAATCCTGCGAATATCCTGGAAATGTTTCATATTATATCAAAGCATGATCAAATACTCAGAGATCATTTAGAGAAGGCTATTTTAAAGACTCTCTGACAAATTAAAATCGAATTAACAAAGTTATTGATGTAGTTCTTGATCACAGGAATAATAAAAAATAACAATGGTTTAGTTTGCTAATGAATAGTACTCAAGACATTAATGTTTATGATCAAGCAACCATTTACCTATGATATATATAATGGCAAAATAACAGAAAGGCTTTTCGCACTTACAAAAGTTACAAACTCTTCTGGAAAAGGACTTTTTGATATCTTGAGTGAATGCTTTTTAAAACATGGAATTCAAATGATAAATATAATTGGAGAATCATTTGATGGTGCGCGGGGTGAATGTGTTGGGTTGCAAGATCTTATTAGAATTGAGGCCAGGTACTTTGTATATTTTTGGTGTTACAGTTTTATATTAAATCTCTGTATATGTGATTCATGCGATAATATTGAAGGCAAAAATTTATTTGGATTATTGAACAGACTAGCAACTTTCTTTGGTGAATCATATAAAAGGATGGATGCTTGGATGAAACAGAGTAATTCATCTGAAGTTGAGAAAGCTGCAAAAATTAGGTGAGACAAGGTGGTGGACACGTGAAAAAGCCCTTAAATTGATATGGTAAAGAGAGCTTGCTCTCAATAACCATAAATGCACTTCAATTTATAATAGATAATAAATCATTTGAGGCAAAAACCTCGTCAAAAGAGCCATCTTTGGTCAATAATGAATAAAATTTTCCCATAGGCCAGAGTTAAAACTTTTTTAAATGGCCTAAAAAAGATTCCCAAGGGTAAGTAGGCCTAGTTTTATTTTAAAAAACCCAGCCCAAGCTAAATATTTTAAATAAAAAACAATATATTATACTAGCTGATAGTCTGTCAAGAATGATGGGGAATCAAAATATTCACCTGAATTTAATGATGGATGAATCAGATATTTATCTTATGAGGTGATTCAGAAATTTATTTTTATATTGATGAGAGGTTTATTCTAAAATTTTCCATTATTTTTATAAAACATGTTAATAAAGTATATATTTAGTATCTTTAATTTGTGTGCACAATAAAAAGTTTTTTAAACTAAATTTTTATTCATTTATATTTGTAATTTATAATCTAAAAAACATATTCTTGCTAGAAAAGGGTTTTGTGGAGTAATATTAAATAGAGAATAGTTATGCAAACTCTCAGCTAGCAAGAATATATATTTTATATTATATAAATTACAAATATAAATGAATAAAGATTACGTTGAAAAGAGTTTTTAGGTGCACACAAATAAAAATACTAAATGCATACTTATACAAAACCATCTTCTAGCAAGAATACATGTTTTTAAATTATAAATCATAACTACAAATGAATAAAAAATTAGTTTAAATTTTTTTTTATTATGCACATAAATTAAAGATACTAAATATATATTTCATTAACATATTTTATAAAACTAATCGAAAATTTTAAAATAAACCCCTCATCAAAATAAATTTCTGAATCACCACCTCATAAGATAGGAAAATATCTGATTCACTCCCGTCATTCTTGAAGGGCTATCAGCTAGTTAATATATATTTTAATTGACCCATAATAATGTAACAAAAATAAAATAAATTGTATTTCTTTATTTTATTATAAAATTTGAATAAGAAATTAAATAACAAAAGTGACACATCATAACCACATATAAATCTGGATATTATATTTAAAAATAAGAAATATATTTTCAAAACAGTTAACTGATCGTAAGCATTTATAACGGTTCTGTTTTCCTCTTTCATTTTATTATCAAGGTTCGGAAAATTATAACAGTTCCGATGTAACATATTATGGAGGGTTCAAACTAAAAGTTAATTAATATATAAATGCTTTTTAATTTTATATAAACTAAAATCTTGTCCTGAAAAATGTTTCCAAATCTATAAAGCACCCTTCGAACTTCTTAATAGAGAGAGCCCCATAATAAATATATTATACTTTTTATATTATATCTTTTATTATTTTTTAAAATATTATAAGTGAAAATAATATTTAATTTTAAAAAAAATTTATGGAATATAAAAGGTTATAATTTTATATTTTGAGATGCATTACTAAAATGCATATATTGGGTAAATTTAAACATAATAGTGCCTTTAATTTAAAAATGGGAACAAATGGTCTGGTATGTCCCATGGTCAAACTTATATTGAGAATAAAATTATTCATAAAAAAAATAATGAGCATACAGGTTTCATGGCGGTCAAAACTCCTAAGTATCCTACAAAAGATACGGCTTTATATATGGTAACATTGCCCCTCCTGTAATCCAAAGCAACAGTCAATGGCTTGAGAGCTTCCGATATCTTCCAGGTCTTATTAATTGAGTTCCATCTTAAAAAAAATTATAAAAATATTCCAGGCCAATTAACTAAATTTTGCTCATCTCTTATGGGGTTCAAAGCAAATAGACTAAAAATAAGGTAGGTATGAGGAAAGGAGGTGGGGAGGGGGGGGGCTAGTAAAATTAATTAATATTTTTATGTATTAATTTTGAAATTCAAATCATATTAGCAACGATATAACACGATGTCGACAAGTGAGATAAGATCTAAGGTAAGTATATCTGATTAACATATTGATAAATTATTTAAGGAATATTGATGTTAAATATAAAAGAAATGATGAAGATATATAAAAAAAATATTAATAGCTTATTTCAGTATTAACATCAGATAAAATTTAAATAATATGGTTCCATTACGCGATCATAATTGCGTAAATGAAACAATTACGTGGCTAAATTATTTTTATTATATTAATCAAAGTGTTATAGAATGAAAAACGCACACACTTGCCTTCCAGGTTGGGTCGATTCGGCGCAGATCTCAACGATTTATTTAAAAATCACAAATTGATTATTATATATCATTTATAAAATTAAAAGGAGTGTTGATCGTTGAACTATAGTCCTATTAATTATTGCATGTTTATATTTTATTTTGATTAAAATGATATTTCATTAATTATAAACGATTTTATACATTTGAATAAGATCAAATAAAAACTTAATCGAATACCCTGATTTCTTTGGTGGACCAACCAATAATGTTAAGATATTGACACAAAAAAAAATTTAATAATTTTTTTATATTATTGGCTTATTCAGGTTCTATCGATATGCTCGCTCTCCCCTATTTGCAAGATAATATATAAGTATTATTTTTTATATATCATAGGGTTTGTTTAATTCCTAAAAGAGGGCCAATAAATTTAAAATAAACCAGGGCTGAAAATTATTTTTCACAAACCAGGACCAGATAGTGGATTGATTTTTATCTAAAACCTTTCAGAGATGTTTATAGTACCAGAATTATATAAAAGGTTAATTATTATGATTTAGAATTTTCAGTAGTTTCATTACATATATCATGAAATGTATGCTCCAAATTTTATTTAATTTGGTAGAGTAGTTTTTAAGATATAAGCACTTTGTTACTGATCTGGGTCTGTGAAACTCCACTAGAGTATCGTAGGCTTTATTTCGAATTTAGTTAAGATGGGAAATTATTATTTTTTAAATTTTTACTTAATATTTAGAGTTAAATTTTTTTTTCTTTCTTAGAAAATTTTGGCACATGTTATAATTATCCTGAACATTTTTTATCAACGCATAATAAATTGTAATCAAATATATATAATCTCCATAATCAAAACATGATCGTTTTCGCATCATCTTAAAGTATAAAAATTTAAGACTATATATTATAATGTTAATTTTTTAGTACCAGTATGACCCAAAGATACCAAACACTTTATGTCAACACAATTACGAGTTTTGTTAATTATTAAAACATTTTGATGATAATAAAACTCAAGAATTTTCAAAATTAATGCAATAGGGGAAATGTGCTATAAATGGCCATGTGTGAAGACTGACCACCAACTTTTTATCTATTTGACCAATTTCTCTCATAATTGATCAAAATGTGTATAATTATGATATGTATTACTTAAGTTCATTTATTGAATAATGCTATTAAAAAAATATTTCAAATAAACTGTTTTTAGTACCTCTTCCTGGAAAAATCACGTTACACATTTTTTTTGTTTGGTGAAAAGTGAAAAGATTACTAATTTAGATTACTGATATTTTATATAAAAATTATCCTTAGACATTTAGCATTGCCACAATTCGCACCATCACATATTCATATTAAAATCTCTTGCAAAACAACATTTGGTGAAATAAAATGATGAACAAGCTTAAGAATGTTTAGTAAAATGATAATTAAGATATTAATTTATAATATTATCATTAAATAGATGTGGTACTAAAATGAGATTTTAATACTAATTAAATTAGTGTATAATTAATTTTTTATATAGCTAAAAATGTAGAAATATTAATATAGGTCTTTTACAAGAATTTCATATTTATAATAAAATTCTTAAATAATATATTATGGCCAGTTAACACATAGTATATGGCCAGTCAATGCATAGTATGTATTGACTGGCCAGAAAAACAACTTTTACATAATAAAGTTTAATATTTAGGCTACACATTGATATAAAATTTATTTGGTTAAACATAATTTTAATACCTTTTTTCAAAAAGCAAAAACATGGCCATTCATGGCACATTCCCCTACTTGATTTTATTTGTCCAATAGATAATGGATTCATGGCTCATGTAAGATCTTTATTATTAAATTCATAACAGTCTTGAAAATTTTATCAATACCATACCAATTTTATGAAAATGAATAATATATTGGTTATCCTTTAATGTTACTTTTAGGTTTTTGATTGAATTATTAATACTATATATCAGAATTATAATTATTTTATTTTTGTTATAATTAATATTGTTATTAACAAATTAAATGTTTCATTATTTAATTGTTTAAACAAATCCATTTTGGTTTTATCAATAATGATTATAGAAATGTCACTCTGATATTAAATATTTGCATAATGGATAACCATCAATATTTAACTTCAGAGCAATGTAATGTTTAAAAATTATTTATTGTAATAAAAAAAAATTTTGATCAGGATGAAAAATTTAATTCTAATAAATGGTAATAAAAAATAAGAAAATATATTTTTAATGTTTTGCAAAAGGTACATTTTTATTTCAACTTGCCAAGTGTTTATAAAACTTTTGAAATTTGTGATAAAATAAGCAATCTTTTTTTTAAGTTGGCCTAACAATTTATATTGAATCTTGCCATTTTATTTAATTTCATACTCTATACAAATGGAACATTTTTAAAGTTGTAAAATGTGAATTTTTCATATTTAAGGGTAATTTATATCCGAGGTCTGAAAAATTTTTGCCCTGCCAAGTCCGGCTCTAATTTTTCATTAAGATTGTCCAGCCCGGTTTTTATATATAGACCGGCAATATATTTAAAACCGAATATTTTAAATCGTCTATATTATCTGTAAAAATTAAAAATAAATGTAATATATATAAAGAAAATCCGGAAGAGGCCAAATAATTTTTTTTTAAATCCGGGACAGGTCAAATTGGGGCCAGGCCATTCCTGAAAATATAAAACACAGGCCAGGCGGGGGCAAAAAAATTTTGTTAAAAAAGAATCCGGAATGGGCAAATGATACCTCTGCAGGTCTATGAAATAAATATTAATATTTATAAATAATGAATATAATTTCATTATATGTATTATCGACCTACAGACTCAACAATAAGCCCAGGTACACGGGACAACCAGTTTTTTAAAAACCAAGGCCAGGGTTAATTTTTTAAATAGCCGGTTTGGGCATAAAATATTTCCAAAAATACCCAGGCCAGGGTTAAAATTCTTTTCTTAAATGTGGGTGGACCTAAAAAAAATTTCCAAAAACACCAAGACCAGGCCTAATTTTTTTTAATAATAGCTGATAGCCTGTCAAGAATGATGGGGAATCAGATATTTATCTTATGAGGTAATTCAGAAATTTAATTTTATTAAGGATGTTCCGATATTTTATATCGGATCGGGCCGATATTTCGCCCATTTTAAAAAATCGGTTATCGGCAAATATTATAAAAATTTCTGATCCGACCCGATAAAAAATGGCGATTTAACAAAAATAAAATATTATATAATTTTTTAAAAAAGTTATATCTAAAAAACTATTATTTTTTTTTAATGTTTCAAACAAATTTAATGTCAATGTTTATATAAAAAACTGTATAATAAAAAAATAATAATTAGTATAGTAAATTGTATGTTGGGTGGGAGGAGGTCAAGAAAGAGAGCCGTGGATGGCAATGCAGTTAGATCTGCATATATCAATAGATATGCACTGTCTGAGATAGAAGCCTTCCTGTGAGTCACCAGTGATGGCGCGTATTTTTCTACCAAGGGATTTGAAAAAGGTTAGGGCATGATTGCCAAAAAACCCGGTTGTGTCGGATACAATTGGTATGAGATTGCAATTGGTTAGGGAAGTGTATTTATTAATTTTAGAGTTTTCAGCTCGCATGAATGAGTTGTTATTAAAGGAGGGAGCAAATCGAGTATAGTCCCATGCTAATGGAATTCCATTACTCCATGGTATTAATGTCAGCCCATCTGGCCGTATATTATTCTCGGTTGAGAGGCCACAGGGTTCGAGGGTTGCTGGAATTTGAGCTGAGCGTAGAGCACGGAGAATGGTGCCGTTAACTGCACTGCGTCGAGAATGTCCACCTTTAGAATGTCCAAAACAATTAACGGGTTGGGAACATAATGTACATGTGGATTTTTATAAATAAAATCGAAATCCATTTTTATGTTTAATTTTTTTTAATAGTAATAATTAGTTAAAAAACATTCTGCCATATAGTTATTTTTTTGGCATTCTGTTTAAAAAAGTGTGCAATAATCTCTTTAGAATCCGTTTTTCTTGATGCTAGTGATATTGACAGTCCCCAACACCGCAGACTAATCTCTGGTAAATTGGAAATTTTGGTATTTCTAAAAAGAAATCTTCGATAAATTAGTTTCAAATTTCATAATATTTTTGTTTATTACTAAGTATGTATAAGTAATTTATCAATAAAAAATTTTTATATACTTTTAAAATTGCAATTGAATTGAAGATAAACTATAACTGATCATTATAATATATTTAAATGACATATGTTATATAGTAAAATTATAGATGTTATACTAATAAAAAGTATATTAAAAATTAAAACCATTGGTACTTTACAGAATACAAAATTAGATATGATATCGGATCGGTAATCGGCCGATATAAATTTAATAACTGGAATATCGGATCGGATCGGCCTCCAAAAAGTGGTATCGGTTACACTCCTAATTTTTTTTTTGATGAAAGGTTTATTCTAAAATTTTCCATTAACTTTATAAATTATGTAATGAAGTATATATTTAGTATCTTTAATTTGTGTGCACAGTAAAAATCTTTTAAACAAAATTTTTATTATTTGTATTTGTAATTTATAATCTAAAAAATGCATTCTTGCTATAAAAGGGTTTTGTGGGGTAATATTAAATCGAGAATGAGTTGTGCAAAACTTATAAACTTTATGATTAATTTTATCTTATATCAAATTATAAAATAAATATAATGAATATAAATGGAGAAATATTCATTTGAAATTAAACTTCACTGGAGCATTTACGTTAATTTTTAACCGTAGTATTAAAAGGTTAAATAATATATTTCCAAAATAAGGTAGATATAATTAATAGTAATAATCTATTTTCCATATCCTTCCATTCATAATTTTTTTAATATTAATTATTGCTCATTTTTTATTGCTAAGATATGCTTCTAGTCTAGAGTAATTAGTCAACATGGTAAAAAAAAGAGCGATACATATTCAAGAATGAGAGGACTATTGCTCAAAAACTATATGGCGATATGTAGAATCTTATAATTCGAAAGAAAGCTTAGCCGGTGCAAAGGACGATGCCATATCTTAAAAGAAGAAGTCATTCTTCACATAAATAAGCACAATCATGTTTTAGATGGTACAACAAGATGCCTAAACAAGATAAAAAGAATTGCGCCATAGAAGTAATTGATAACCACATAAAACATCATGCTACACTCCCACCCATCGTAGCAATAAAATTACCATTCAGTGGGCTATATAGCTTACTGGTGCCCCTTCACCAAGTTGCGATTTTCTTTAATTCGATAGATTTACAATCTCAACTGCCACGAATTTTAATATTCTCTATCTGAATCTTACATGAAGACAAAATTAATCACTGATAAGCAGATGGTACATTTAACCATCCCAGTCATTTTTCAACAACCTACCTGCATGTTGTCATAAAAAGTTGTACCAACCATTTTTGAAATAAAACCCAAATAACATATAAAAGGATCTTGGGAAATAAAAAGATGGAATAATAAATTTATTTATTTTGATGTCTAAAGATAGGCGGGGAAAAAAATATAAGAAATTGTGGTAAAAGATATTGATTTAAAATGTATATTATTTTTTAGATATAAAATATTTTTCTTTTTCATATTATAAGGTTTTACTTAAAAATGTTTATTTATTGAGAAATATAATAATATGTAGAATAAAAATATTCTTTTTGTCTAAAGTACGGCGGGAAAAATATAATAAAATTATTATTCGCAAAAATAATGAAACTCGATAAAAATTTTCGTGTATAAATATCGAATTTTTTAAAAATATTGTTATCAGAGACCTACAGAGGCACCAATATCACAGCCCTGGGTTGTAGATAAAAAAAAATTTCGGCCCGAGTTTATTTTAAATTTATTAGCCTTAATAAATGAGTTTAAAAATATAACAAACCCTATATTATATGTATATATAAATAAAACTTATATAATATCTAGCAATTAGGGGAAAGCAGCCAATAATTTAAAAAAATAATTTGATTTTTTTGGATCAATACCTTATAACATGATTGGATAGTACACCAAAGTCACGGTATAAAATTTATTTGAGAGTCAATAGATTATATGCAACCACGGCCATATAATAATTTTTTATATTAATAAAATTATGATTTTAAATAAATCGGAGCTTACTCATATCCATCGAATTGATGTGTAACATCAGGTGAATGCTTTGAAGGCAAAAACAATCCGATAACTTTCATTTTTTTTATCGAATCTAACGTTGCCCATAGAAATAAATTATTTTTAAATAAACTTTATTTTATAATACCAATATATAAAAAAGACAACTATACTGATGATATCCAGACTAATAATATTATTATGTACCAATGATAATTCGTTAAAGACATTATAAAAGAGGATGGCGCTACTGTGGTAAAAAATGCACAATTTAAATGTTTAATGCAAATTTCATGTCATGGTGCCCTGTAAATTTAATTTTTTAAACCCAAGCGTAGCTCCATCTTTTAATTTGGGGCTTGGCCCAGCCCAAATTTTCATATATGCCCAAACTCGGCCCGTAATTTTTACATAAAAATTGCATTTTTTATCATATTAGAATATGATGTATTATAATCAGAGAGCGCAGGCCCGGCCCTAAGCCCGGGTACCAGGGCCGGGCCGTATTTTAAATTTTTAAAATATACCCAGGCCTGGCCGGGCCGGGCTTGAAAATTTTTTTAAAAATACCCAGGCCGGGCCGTATTATTTTAAAAAATTTATACAACATGAATTATTATATTCGTCAATTAGATATGGTTTCATTTATAATGTTTATATATAGTTATGATTAATATAATGTTTGGTGTAAAATTATAGTTTTTCTGCCATGCAATAAATACGCAAAGAATTAAATACATTATTATATAATATATAATATATTTTTTATCAATTAAAATATCTATTTTATTTTTTTTATAAATACATAGTATATTCTCAAAATATTATTTACACAAATTTTTTATAGTATCAATTTGTAATAAACTAAATATCTGTTTAGAATAAAAAATAATGTGTTGTTAAACGGCTCGTTTTGAGCCGATTTTTAAAAACGGCTAACTCAGTTTTTTATCCAGAAAAATATTATGCAAGCCTGAAAATTTTGCTCATAGAAGGAGCAAAGGTCTAGACATATAGTATCGAAATTTAGAGGCTTAGTCAATATTTTTCTGGCGAAAATATTGAGTTAGCTGTTTTTAAAAATCGGCTCAAAACGAGCCGTTTAACAACATTAGCTATATACTTGCTTATTAAATGATAATACTCGCCGATGAATTTTTTGTATATACCAGGTCGAATATAATTTTAAAAAATTCCGAGCCGGGCCCAATAAAATTTATTTAAATATTCGGGCCGGGCATAATTTTAAACCTGGGCACCGCCGTAAAAACCCGAAAATTTTTTAATCTGGGCCGGGTCGTACAAATGGTACCTCTGCAGGTCTCTGATTATAATAAAGGATGAACATATATCATTTTTTATAATATAGATCAAACAAACCCAGCCAAAAATATTTTTAAAATTTTCGACCTCTACATAGATATAAAAAAGTGGACATTTTTTATTATCTACATACCATCTATTAGTCTTGCAAAATAGTTCGATTTCAGCCCAATTACAAAAATGTTTAGCTCAGGGCAGTTCTGCTTTACATTATAAATGAAACTAGTGAATATATCTCAAACAAAATTAATACTCATTGTTTCTATAAGATTATTTTAAATGATTGATACTACTAAATTGGCAGAATAATATGGCGGCGTTTTATTTACAGGAAGAATGAAAAACATAAATTAATATTTATTTCCTAATTTAGATGATGATCCAGTCCCACAGGACTAAGTTAATAAAATTCATCAAAAATCGCGATAGGCGAATGTATATGTCTGGATGATGTAAATATAAGTCAATATGCAAAAATATTCAAGATAAAGTGATGATAATGTTAATGACCTTTCGGTTAACCATCCTATACGAATCTAGTCGGTATATAAGAGTTGAGTACACATAATAATTACGAAAATCCTATTCAAAATTAAATTTAAAAGAGCGCTAATATTTAGTGGATAGTAAAATATATATATTATTATTGTTTTTTAAACATATATTGATATTTAAAGAGACTAATTATAAACATTAGTCATTAGTGAAACAAACCATACAACTGAAATTTTTTCAGGCACATTGTGATTCTTCAGCTTTCTAAATAAATATAAAATACCCTAAAAATAAGCCAAAATCCAGATTACGAACGTGATATAAATTTTGTTCCGAAGAGTTGTCAACTGCTAAGATGGAGGTGCAAAACGTAAAAATTTCGTAAAATATGTTGTAGGCAATTACTCTCCCTAATTTTTTTAAAAATAAAATATATTCATAGCTAAAAGATGAGATATTATTCGTAAATATTTACGTACTGAGATCGTACTTATGATCTTATGGGTTTAATGATTTTACATCCCTTTACTATTTAATGTAATTAAAATATCATATTATATATACATTATATAACTCGTTAAATATTCGAATTTTTATAAATCTCGAAGGTTTTTAAAATATTAGTTTTACACATTCAAAAAACGATTTTCACAAATAGTTTAATGTATATGAACCTTGCCCCATATTGGTTTATATCTTGTAATGAAAGAGTCGTCATACATAGATTTTTAAGAATATTATAGACCTAAGAAATTGAGATGATTGCATTAATCATTTGTAAAAAAAATCTTTATACTAGCACTGCTTTTGAATTTAAAATTTAAATGACTGACTTTAATTTTTTTAGAAATTAGAAAACATGCTTTTTAATACAAAAGAAACACAAAAAAACATATCTCCAACTGTTAAAGAACGAAACTAATATGTCCTCGCAATCGTCTCACTGATTGCCTAGTCTAAAAACTACTTTACATATATTGAAAGAACTAACAAAAAGGCTATTGAAAATTTTTATATAAAACATCCGTCCATTTAATTTTTCTTAGAATTGTACTTATATAAATTAAAAAATAAATATTTTATTAATATTAGGGTAGTTTTTTTAATAAAAACTTAGGTATCTCTTCATAAAATTAATTAGTGTAAAGCAGACTTCCGAAACGCTTTAGATTTCTGAGGGACGGAATAGAATTTTAAAAAATTGTTCTGGAACGTTCCAATGTTAAGAAAATATTTTCAAATTTTAACCATTCTTTAAATTTGATTTCATTAATAATATAAACAATTGGGTATAAAAAATAAGCTTAAAAAAATCATGTTTTGTTCATTTATCTCTCCAGTCCCTATATAACTTTTCATTCGTATTAATAGTTTAATCTAACTTGGCTTCCCAATCTATATGTTTATCCAATTGGAGTTTAGTTTATGATAAAAAAAACTAATGGAATCAATTTAACCAAATTTTCGACTTTTTCGAGCTCATATATGTTTGAAAAGGCTAAGAAAATTTCCTTATTTGTCTGATATACTATAAAAAATATGATAGCTAGTTGAATTGGGTGTGTAGGTAATTGGTGTGGAATTTGTCATATATATATTTCTAAAAATATTTTGCTTTGATAAAAAATCTGAGATTAAGTGTGAGAAAGAAAAAAATTGAGGTTTGAGGAAATGTCAGAGAAATGAGGAATGATTGTGAGAATCACAGTTAAATCATAAGATAGGGCACTGGTTAATATCTATCTCATAATAATGATAAATTTTCTGTGCTAATTTTCTCTAATGAAAGCCTACCCATTATTTAGCAAAACAATAAAAATAGACTGATGCTAATCTTAACACTACTTTATTTATCAAAATATTCAACTTAAAGAATGATAAACATAGGATGGAAAATCCTCATATTATATTACAATTATTCAATAAATTGCTTATTTAATTCATATAAAATTACATTGATAATTTAGATCATAGGCGTAACCAGATAGTTTCTCGCTTGTAAATTTTCTAAAAGAAATTCCCCACCCCGGCTATGCCTTTGATCTAAATTATTTTGCCCATATTAATATTCAATATAACTCAATATTACTCTACCTTTGTTTAGGCCTGCTTCTCTGGATATTCCATTAATTTCTTCTCTATAAGGTGATGGAATTTTTTTATCCAATAAATTCTTCATTTACATATAAATTATATATCATTTAATTTCAAATGATAAATAATATTGATAAGTTTCAGTCCAATAAGAAATAATACTAATCAAGATCATAAGTTAAATTGAATATACCACTCTGCCTCGACAAAAAGGGACTCTTTTTAATTTCTCTTAACATATGATCTTTGAAATTAAAAATACACATGAAGAACTTAATTTTTAATGGCCTATAGAAAATTATAGTACAATTCTCTATTAATATAAAAAATTAAAAACAATTATTTTCCTCTAGCCATATCGGAATTATCATAAAATTAAAAAGTGAGGCAAGATTCAATAAAAAAAATTACCAGCACATAAATTTATAAATTTTAAGACTTTTATAAAATTTAGTTCTGTCGCTCTTAAATATTAGATTTAAAAGAGTTATTTGACTGTTAAACTCTGATGTTTTTTCAGTTGAATCTGTCTTTGAATAAGAACGCTGTGTTCTTACCTTTCTCTTCATAATTCCTCATATATTTCCTATTTGAACGTGGAGATTTGGTGAAGACTATTAAATTAGAGAGTTGCAAAATTAAAAAATTTCAACCTAGGCGTGCCTGGCCGGTGAAAAAAAATTCGATTTCGACCTGGCCTGAGTATGAACGAATTTTTTAAGGTTATATAGAAGAATAAATCTTAAACTCAATTAATAATTTTATGCTATATATAAATGATTTGCATTAAATTTATCAGTAATAATTTTGATAATTTTAAAGGGTATTTCTTAAATTTAAGAGGTAAGCCATTCCATGACATATCGATCAAAAAAGGGCCATTTTATAGACCTCGTTCAAATCGAATGAATCTTTGCATGATGTTAATATATGTTGTGAGGACAATGCAATTGAATTTTTTATGCTCTAATAATTAGTTCCGAATATTTGGCGGGTTAAAGTTTAAAAATAGCGTCCTTCCTAATAACCCAATAAAAATAAAGATTACTCAAAATATATAAATGATAGATACCTATATTTGCTATCATTATATAGTCTGGGAACCCCTTTCTTAAGAATTTTTTTAAAAAAATCTCAGGTGTTTTCATTTCCGGAAAGAGTAAAGGTTGATTTTTTTAATATCAAGCTTTAAATTTTCTAAAAAAATTTTATATAAGAAAATCTATATAAATTTATATTAAAAAAAATTAGGTTGGGAAAAACAATTATTTTTTTAATGATTTTATTGTTTATCGATAAAAAAAAGTAATAATAGATGGTGACATGCTAGAAAATCTATTATTAAAAAAACAATATTTACTTAATTTTGAAATAAAATATCATTATATAGGCACTAATCTCATTTTGTGTAGTTTTCAAAACGTCTGCGGATAGAATATAATGTATCTTCATTAGGTGGAAAATGAAGGATGGAGAGGGCCCATGTGGATACAGAAAACTAACTTGCACATTAATATAATTCATTCTAAATCTCGTATATTGATAAGTGATAATTTCCACTTTACCTTCGTGAAAACTTGAATGAATTTTTGTTTCAATACTCCTGACATAATGGTAAACACATGTATCTTTTGCGTGCCAATTATTGCGTAATTCAAATTCGTCTCTGGTTGTTCCATACCAAATACTTTTTGATTTAAACCCTTGTAATTTTTTTTTTCTGAATTTTGGTATGATTTCCATATTTTATGGGAGATTCGTCTATATCTTGCAATGAAACATTAATATCGCCCCAATGATACTTTTCGTAAAATAAAAAAGTTGTAACTACATTTGGCATTAGTTTCCTTAATTTTTGCTAATTCCTTTCTACGTAAGTCACAAAGATAATTCAATTTAGTTTAAAAAAGATGTTTCATTAAAACATATTATTTGTGACTTTTCTAATTTAATTAAAATATAGTTAGTGTTGCAGCTGTTAGAAATCGAAACAAAATAAAATAATAGATTATAAAATTATCAATCATTTTTATTAGTTAGAAAAAGAAATATAATGTTTATAAAAAAATACTTTTACTTTTTGATATTTTATTGACTTTTTACTTTTTGACTTACATTGTTTTTTTTTAAATTCTTATATTAATTTGAAAATATATAATTATAATTGGGATTGAATAATAAATGCTTAATTAAATGGTACACATGAGATTTTTCTTATTCTGGGTTAAAAATGTGACAAGGTTCAAATCGTGGAAGAATTCTAGGACATGGTTTCTAATAAATTATTCTCATTAGGATTTACAGGTAAAAGAAAATTTTTTTTATATATACACAACGCAAATTTTGAAAGAAATATAATTTTGAAAGATAATTAATCTCTCTAAACCATAAATTAAATGTAATAACGCTCCTCCGACACCTTTATTAGATGCATCTACGGCGAAGATTATTTCTAATACATTATTAAAACACACTAAAATCGGTTCTTCATCAATTTTTTCTTCAAAATCTCAAAAGCATTTTGTTGTGCAATTTTCCACTCAAAATGAACCACTTTCTTTAATAAATTATATAAGAAAGATTCCTTGCAAAATTCTCTACAAAACGATAATGAAAATTTACCATACCCAAAAAAGACTGTACTTCAGCTGTACTATATGGCTGATTCATATCAGAGATATTTTTTAAATTTTTATCAAGAGGTTTCACTTCAATTCCATTAATTTGATGACCCAAATACACTATTTCAGTTACAGCAAGAACAATTTTTTCTTTGCTAGCTCTCAAGCCCTTATCACGAATTCTCTTAAATACTTCTTCGAGACGTTGATTATGTTGCTCTGGTGTCATCCCAGTTATATATCATCTATATAATAAAATACACCTTTTAGCCCCTGGAAAACAGATGCCATGGTATGATGGAAAATAGATGCTGACACACTTAATCCAAACGGTAACCAACAAAATGCAAATAATCCTTTAGAAGTCGTTATCGTTAACAATATGCGAATTTCCACCTTTAAAGGTAGCTGTAGATAGTGGAAGAAAAATCAACTTTTGAAAAATATTTACCTTTTTAGCCAAAATCTTTTCAATTCTGGGCAATGGATATTTAACTTCAATGGATTAGAGCAAGCATATTTCCTTTTATCCATTTCTAACTAAAAAGGGATTGATATATAAATGCGAATATTAAGAAAATTCACTAGATTAAATATTTTAATTTTGCGGAAACTCTTTTGTAAACTTGGAAGAAAAAAGGAAGGTTTGTTTCTTTATAACTGACATAAATGCAAGAAAAAAGTTCACCCATCCCCTTTTCAAGGGCAAACTATATACATATTTTTATTATAAAACGTTTTATATTAATTTTATTTTTTAAAAAACTAATAATTTAGATTTTTTTAGCACATGGCCATCTATAATGACTCGTTTTTTTATCGATAAACATTTATAGTCTGTATATATTATAACTAAAAAAATATAATTTTAGCCCCCAACTCTAAACAGTGGCTGAGACATGGACCTATAAATGTCGAAAAAATGGGTCATTTTAGGCAAAATGCACTCTATTTAATATTAAAAATCTTTGGAGCTTGAAGAGTCATTTAAATTTCTTTATATAGACTAAAGTTTTATTGTTATATAATGTTATAATATTTTAAATGTCAAAAACCAGAAATAGAAAACTGGTAATGGCATAAAATCAAATCGGAATTTTTTTTCTCAATTTTTTTTACGTATAAAATTGATGAATAAATAAGCAAATTTTCAAGTTGCACTGCGTTCAAGTTTAGATATGACATTTTAATCATTAGTCTCTTGTAAATATTTTTAATAAATATTTGATATTAAGCAATAATTGTAATATAAGTCAAAAGCTATCAAAAATTTTATGTTTATTATTTAAAAGGATAGTGATTTATGATCTGGGAAAGTATTTGGAATGGGGAGGGGGGGGGGGGTGATTAATTTATTTGATGAATTGAATTTCTCTCCTCATATAACTAGAAAATAAGAATCAATTTTTTCTTATAATTTCTTGAAGACAAAATTTAATTTTTATATATTGTTAATTCAATAATTTTCACAATATGAAAATAATTTAATTTTAATTTTTCCTAACATAAAAGCATTTGTATTACGGGAATGTCTTTTGAACAAGATATTTCTTCAAATTCATCATCTTTTACATATGAATAATTAATTAATTCTAGAAATATGTGCTTTATAAAAATAAAATGAATCTAAGGTATTTCATATTTTATTCTCATATGGATGCTGAAGGTTGCTCTATCTGCTAACCTTATGGTAAAGTTTGCCATGGCTGTTACTAGAAAATATCGTTCCGCTTTGATTCCAAAATCAAGTATATGATGGCATATATTATGAAATTTATTCATATATTGAGTACTACACCATCAGAAAAAAAAAACATTTTTGATAAATTAAATAATCTTAAGAAAATCAATCATTTTAGTTTTTAAAAAAATGATCTTAAAACTTCAAATTTATTAAAGCTCATTTTTATATCAATATGAGTTTCTTCAAAATTAGAATATAATTCCTTATGATTGCATAAAATGAGTATTTTTTCAATTGGTTCCCTCTTTTAACCTTTTTATATAAAACGGATTTTATCAAGTATCATACGACCTTTTTAATCGGAATTATGAAAGTGTCCAATAATATCTATAGTCTCGAAAAACACTTCTAGCCTTTATAATATTTGAACTAGATAAAACACCCATTTTCTTGACCAATTTTTTGCTATCCTTGCCATGAATTCAGTCTTAGAAAATTCTTCTTGAGGGTCCAAGAATTTGTTAAAACCGTAAATATCTGAATTTTTCATTTCGAGAATGTGTTGTTTCAATTTTTTTTAAATTGCTTAATGATTTAACATTAATCGTTAATATTATAATTATCTTATGAAAAAATATTCAAAACATATTTCTTAATTTTTCACGTCAGATAATGCAAATTTTATCATTAATGATTTATTCTGGTTAATCATCCAACGAAGTACATTTCTTAGTACTTCACAACGTATATGTTTATCCAAATTGTGCGAGTTTT